TTTGCGTTTTGAATAATGAAAAGCACTAAATTTAGTGCGAAAAGCACCAAGTTGGCAACAGTGCCAGAAAGTTCCAAAAATCGAAGTAAATCGCATAAATTACTCGATTATTAGTTAATACAAAATTGAATGCCCCACTTTCCTTAGGACATTGGCATGGGGAAAAATGCATTCTTGAATTTAAAAAGCGGCTGTTCTACTGATTATTTTTCCCTAATACCATACTTTACATTTTCTCGCTGGGTACGTTCATATTAGGGATGTTAATTTTTCGGCTTTTTCCGATCCCGGGATTTTCGGTATGGCGTTGTCACAGTCCCGGGATCCCGGGATTAGTCCCGGGATTTAGATATTCATTACTTTTCAACAGCTTGAATCGAAAAGTTCCTTCTATATTGTTTGGGAAGCTCGCCTACCATGTAACCTACTTTTTTATTTAAAGTGGCGTTTTTATTTTTTCTCTTTGGCCGAGGATTTATTTTGAAGGACTTTGTAATTTCAAAGATTTGATTAATTCCAAAAATTGTAAAAAAAAATCAATGCAATGTAGAATAAAAATATGGGTAACAAATGCATTAGGAAACTTCTTTAGAATTAAAAAAATTTTAATTTTTTGCATTCACAAGGACGAATAGGTAATTTTTAAGCTGACAAAGTTAGAAGAAAGAAATTCGAGGATGTTATCGGGTTTATATAAGAATTTTTTCATAAACAAATATTGCGAAATTTAACGGATAAAATTTTAAAATGACATTTTCAATATTTACCAGCCCTTCTGCACCAGAAACTTGAATCTGTTTAAATTCTACAGGATTTCCTCATTAATTTTATACCCATACTTCTTCTCTGAGCACATTTCTCTGAATTTTTTAAATCATTTTTGAATTACTGACAGAGTAAAAAACTGAAAACGTAATTTTACTATATTTGGCCTGGGGTTTCGCGAATATACACACATTTGTGTTTAAAATTTACTATAGCGCGGTTTATATGTATAATGAACTAGACATTTATAAAAAATGTTAATTATTAAATAAAAAAAGAAATATAACAATACTGGTCAAGAAAAGGAGTTTCTATTATTGCCATCAGTGCAAATTACAAATCCCGAAAATCTCGGAGATTACTTGCCAAGAATCCCGAGATTTTCGAGGCCTTAAAAAGTCCGGGATCCCGGGATTAACATTCGTAATGCATATGTATGCATGTGTGTACATACCTTTTCACATTTCACTTCTCATTGCTATAGCAGTGCATCAAAAGTCTCAGCCTAAATGTATGCAACATATAATCGCTACATAAAATGCAAGCGAAAATGTAGGTGGGTGACTTGGATTAATCAGAACTGTAAACTTGTGCCAAATACTGCAGCAACACGGAAGTGGCTGCAACTTATTGGCACATGTTTAACATACACACATTTTTTGTATCCACATATATGTACATACATATACTACACATATGCCCTAAGCAATAACGTAAGCGCCATTTTTTTCAAAATTTTCTTTTCGATGCAGAATTACATCTAGATGCCCGAGGAATATTTCTGCATCAAAAATAAAATTTTGAATAAAAAAGTCGCTTACGTTATTTTGGCGGTTAGGACTCGATATCGTCACCTGAAATGAAAAAAAAGAAACAAACATCATCGTTGAAATGCAAAAAGTCATAACTAATAAAAAATTCAAAATTCACAACTCCTCACATCAATTTATGAAAAAAAGAACAAAACCTTAGTCACGACTTTCCATTTCATTTACGATGTTGTTACGTCTTTTTGCATTTCAGGTGATGATATACATATACGTAGTTATGTATGTATATACATTTTAGAGCTAAGAGTTCCAATGTGTTGATATTCTAATATCCGGATATTCGATTTTTAAAATTAACAATAAAATATAAGATCCTATATTATTGAAGGACATAATCTAATTTATTTATCTTGCAACTCGATAAATTCAATAAATTTAATTATAATTTTATGCATCCTAGTCTTTAAGATGAAAATGAATTTTCAATCAGGAAGATGGTCGCCGCTTTCGAATTTTCCAGGAAAGGGACACCGCGAAGGTAGCTGTAGACTAGAGTGGTTCATAAAAACGCTCTTTTTGGAAATTCATACACGCTACATCAGAATATTGTTATTTGTGATAAAAAAGAGACTCGTATTTTTTTATTTTGAAAAAAAAAGTTTTCTTAGAGGTCGCGCTGGTCGGTTTTTTATAAAAACGCTGATGTTCTCAATTTTTTTATTTTCTTGACATGTTACCATGCAGCTAAAAATGTGGTTTTTACATATAATTACTCTAGTATTATTGGGGAACTTTCCCTTAATTACACACCCGTCTTGGACAATTAGAATGGGTCTAGTTCCCGAAAATATGCTCTCGAAAAGACACTAGTAAAATTAAAACGTTGATACTTAACGATTTACGCATTGTCATGGGTTGGAACTTGTTACCAGGGGGTTTCTGGGGTTGCTAATTAGGAATATGAAGCCAGTTTTTCGAAATTCAAAATGGCGGATCCAAAATGGCGGTCCATTTCTTTTTTAATGATTGGATTTGTTCGAAACCCGGCACTCGAGAGTTTTTGTGGTCGCCGATTACGAATATGAAGTCAAAATTTTTAAATTCAAAATGGCGGATTAGCGTTTATGAATTTCCAAAAAAAAATTTTTTTGAGCCACTCTACTGTAGACGTTATGGCAGTTGCGAATGCATTTAAGGGTAAGCAATAACGCAGAAAAAATTACTCTTGGTGAACTTTAGAACTTTTCAGGCGCATTTTTCATAATTTCCCATTTTTTTCTGAATAATATGTTAAATCATTCATTCGATTACTTATAAATTATAAATTAAATTAGGGGCATTTGGAAAAACCGTAATGCCTCCTTTTCGGTCTATTATCGCAGCACTCCCAAAACCCTCCGTCTAGGTTATCTTCGGATGATTTAAGGAGTCCTTTTCTTTGCAAATTATCTGAGTGAGCTTCGTGGGACTCCGAAATCACTAATTTAAGGAGTCCTAAAGGCACACTTTTTTTCATATGCTATATTGAGAAGGCACTTTTCTCCGACGGATAATCAAATTGTACAAGACGTTCATTGCCATTGCGCGGAATTAGCTAAACTGAGATTGAAAGCCCTTGGTAGTTATATCTTTGATGATATGTATGACTTCATGTCAATTGGTAGTTCCGGACTAATCAGAAGTAGTCAGAAGTAATCAGATTTTACTGGAAATCGATCCCGCACTCGGTTCTTTGAATATTGAGACGACAAAAAAGATAATAAATAAGGTCCTCTCTCTGTCAGAAGTAACCAGTTTTAGTCCGAAGATTTTGCGCTGGTAAATTCTGGTAAATGTGTCGAAAAGATTAGCGGTAGTGTCTTTGACAAGCAGATTGTAAACAAAATAAAATGCACTCTGCTAATAAATGCTGAAAAGTATTTAATTACTTGTTTGAGTGGATTCTAATGAATTTGAAAGCTTTTTTTTTGGTTATTTACATGTGTCAGCTGAGTGTGTTTACATACAAAATAAGAAAAAATGTATAACCAAAATTTGGAGGTTATGTTGAAATTGTCAGAATTTACCATTTTTTAATAGAAAGCGTACCCTTACTTTTCAGTGTTACTCGCTCGCTCTGAGCGAATTTTAATTTTTTGACAGCTCCCTCAGTTTTAGTCCGAGGAACACGGGTTTGGACCTGGTATTAAAACTCTTCCTATTTTTGTTAAGTACCAAATGATTTTCAGAGCAATGAGGATAACTGTAAACTCTATGCGGTGTCGCAAAGTGATCTGAGTGTAGGTGAGTACCACCAGGTACTGTCGCCTAACCGACGCGCCTAGAGCACCTCTCGTTAGCAACAGTGCCTTCACCATACTCATAGGAATAGCTTTCGATTCGATTATTTACAATAAGGTTGCGGCCACGTAAGGAGCGGCGCCGCTCAACCGCTCTCAAATGCCCCTCAGTGTGCGGTCTTATATTAACTACCGTTGATAAGGTAGATTCTTTATATTTTACATATGTTCTTTTTAGCGCAGGGCTGGCAAAACCGCTTACAGGCGGACGCGCCGAGTTTTTAAAATCTCTCTACACATCAGCCACGACCTAATCAAATGACACCAGATAAGCTTTTTAAAACTTTATATGGATCTTACATATATAATGAACGCTCAAAAGCACACACTCTCTGATCGTCATTGTAAAAGAGTAAAAGTTCTCTCTGGGCGTAATGGCTATGATTTTTTTTATGTTTTTTGTAAAAACGTGTAAAAGGTAAAACATCTCTTTACCCATAAGAGATTTACCGTTTTCACTTGTTATTACATTGTTAAATCAATCACGGCCATATCCAGCGGAAAATCGTATGTTTTGTGATACGCACAGAGTAAAAGCTTTATATGATCGTTGCTGCTTTGAGACGGTAAACTTTTTAAAAAGTTACTCCAACGCTACTGCATTAAATCCGCGATGGGTAGAGAGAGATTTTACTCCCTACTTTGATTGAAAGTCTACAGAAAGCTAAAAAGGCTCTGCCCGCGGGCAAGGAGATACCTATTACTGCTTTTAGTCGCTCTTTTAAGCTTCCTATACATTTTGTGTAGACGCTTGTAAAGTAAAAGCTCTCTTTGTCCAATAGCTGACTGAAATCATAGATGCCCGGAGAGCGGCTGGTTTTAAGCTTCCTATACATTGTGTGTATACGCTTGAAGAGTAAAAGCTCTCTTTGCTGGAGAGGTTTTACTATTCGCATGTCGAAGTCAGTGATGCTCAGAGAGAGCTTTTACTCTGTGCGCGTCCATATAAAATCAACAGACAGCTTTGAATAGTTCCGCCCGCGGGCGCTGTTTTGAGTACCACTGGTCTAAGTATATCAAATATTACAAATACAAGCTTCAAAAAGCTTCTTCCCCGTTACTTGCCGATCTTGCCAGTTCCTTTAACTTCTAAATTGGTGAAAAAAAATTACTTTTCAATACTCACTTGTCAATCGGTCGACGCTCTCAAAACGTCCTTCCACCTTCGAGCGCAATGAATCCAAATCGAATGGGGCAGCGAGGCCGTGATCAACGCTGCGTGATTTGCTCCTGTGAAAGAGAAAGCAAAAAATAAACAAGAAAAATCAGTCCTAGGCGTCACTTAATAATTAATTAAATAAAGCAGTGATAATAAATATATCGTAGGTATGAATGTATGTATGAATGTTTGAGCTTGAAATCGTACTAGGTAGGTGTGTAGCGAAAGATAATAAAATGAATGCGTGATCACGTGAGTAGGTAAATACATACGTATGTACATACATATATTAAATAATTTGGAGTTTTGTTGGTCATGTGACGCCAAAAGCGCAAAATGTTTACTATTTATGTATATCATAATTTTTATGGACAGCTATATTAGAAATTTAAATTTAAACACAAAATAGGGTAACTACAATAAATAATAAAGCATTTTAAAGCTTAGCGGTTAAATTTATTAGCATTAAAGCTTTTATGTATGTATTTGTGTGGAAATAACCAAAAGTGTTAATCAGTGTTGATGTTGCAGACAGTCGTGTGTTTACGTTTTCCTTNGTGTGTGGAAATAACCAAAAGTGCCCTGCAGGGAAACCGCGGACTAGTCCGATAGGAAGTCCAAAATCGGCGAAAAGTGGTACTTTTAAGAAACTAATTTTTCAGTTTTTTTCACTACAAATCTATATCTAAAGTGACGAATTTAGAATTGGTTCGGAACTATAGAAAAAGGGATGCAGAACGAACTAGATCCTATTTGTCGAATTTAGAACTATTTCGGAACTATCGAATAAGGGATGCAGCGGGGGGCTTATTTACTTTACATAGATATGTGTTCGGCGGCTTTTTCGTTCAAATACGCTTCTATTCTGTGCTTCGCAGATGCTATTTCATAGTTTGGTAATACAANTTGTTCGCTTTTGAATTGTTTTTTGTTTTTGTTTATACACATTTCCTTATCATTGCGGCAACATCAGTTAAAATACCCATTTGATCGATTTATTGCAGTGTCACAAGATTGTTGCTGTGCGTTTATGTTTGTGTTTTTTATAAAACATTTAACGCTCAACGGCTGTTAGAAAAATAAAAAATTCGTTGCTGGTGAGGTGAGTGTCGTGAGAAGCAGTGTGACGAATTTGTTGCGATGCAGGGACACAGTCAGGCAGCAATCAGTAGTCAAGCGTCAGCCTTTAAGCGATAAAAATCTCATAAAAGATGCACAATTTTAATCGTTTTTTAATTGATTTGTTTTCGCTTAGGCGCGCGTGCGCACACAAACGTGTCGTGCAGCTGTTCAACAAGAAAAAAAAAATTAAAATAAATAAAATACTAAATTGTGAGGTAAATTTGTTGCGATTGTCGCATTTTTTCCGTTTAAATTTTTTATGCGTTTATAGTTACTCTCAACATATCTTCACATCTGTATTTTCTATTTTGGAATGTCACTAAATTTTTATTGTGCCTTTAACTATTTATAGTTAGTAATTTATGCATTTGCCTGTCATGCGCTGCGCTGTTTTGAATTCAGTTATGGACAAACGAGTACATATTGTTTATAAGTTTCGTCTAATCTTTTCAACCTTTAATTTCAATCACTGCCATAGTTTGTTTTTCACGCATTTTTTAAATATTTTTTGTTTTTGTTTTTACTGTGATATGCTATTTGACCGCTAACTAATAAAGGGTGTTAAAATATGAGTTGTGAAGTATTTTTATACGAATTGGCAGATGATATCGGAGGACCATTAGTTTTAGTTAAGGTTGGGGTTGGATTACGTTAAGTGAAAGGATCTCTGAGTTGTGATACCAGTAAAATTTTTGGAGCAAAGCAACCTTTTAATAAAAGTGACTAGACCGGGATGAGACCAGGATTGGTCGCAAAGCAACCTCCGATCGTAGGGAATGAAGAATAACTGTTCAATTTTGGTCGACCATGTCCTTATAGGGCCACCTGTACTCTTTTTTATGCTAACGGATACATAAAGAGACAAGTCCCTTTCTATATAAAAATATAAAAAAAGGAATAAAAAGAAAATTAATTTTAGGGTGGTCCAATAAATTGTTTATGTTTCGCTGTACTCTCGTACTAAAATTTTAGCAATAGGTTTTGGCATTTTCGATTTTTTCGAGTTGCGTCAAAGGGTATTTCTGGCTAAAATAGTTGAGCTTTTTGTTAGACAAATGACAGATAGTAGGCAAGATAGTTTGAAAGATTTTGTTTATTCTGACACGAAAGTCTTAAAGAAACACAACTTTCAGGGTGTAATGCTCTTTTGACAGAAATCACCTGTTTTCCTTTTTTTATTTTGAATTGATGAATTTAGTTTTCTTTTTTAATTTACTTTTAATTTTTATAATTTATTATTTTAAAAAGAAAAATATATATACATTTAAAGCTTTTTTAGAACTATATTTTTTTGTTTTTAATTTACTTTTTTATATTTTTTTCTTTTATTATTAAAAATTGCTTTTAATGTTTAGAAACTTATTTTTTTCTCCTTTTTTAATTATTTTTTCTTTTTTAATTCATTTTTCTTTATCTTCATATTTTATTGTTCTAAAAAGAAAAATATTTATTTAATTAATTTTTAGGAGTATATTGAATATTTTTTCTTGCTCCATTTTATCTTTTTCCTTTTTTAAATTTATTTTCTTCTAAGTTTTAGATACTCTTATATATTTTTTTTGCATATCTATTTTTTTAGTTTTCTATTAATTTTCAGATTATATTGTTTTAAAAAGAAACATATTCTTTGAATATCATTTGATTTTTAGAAACCTTTAAATTAAATTTTTTTTTGTTTATTTCTATAAGTTAAACAGAATAACGCTAAGACCTCCTTGTTAGCAGATCTCTCTAGTAGTCTTTTGAAAAACAGAAAAGTGCTTTCAAGATAATTATAAGAATCGGCATTTTTCTTATTTTTTTCTTTCGAAATACTGTGGTGAGTTAAAAGATAGTTGCCAGATAGTTGCCCTGTTAGAGCACAATGACAATTTTATACTTACTCGATTGGTTGAGTGCAAATAAATCTCAAATAGAACCGTTGAATCTTTAGCTGGTGGCGAGTAAATGCTAATTGGATAATATGGAGGGTCTACTCTCTTGAGAGACTAGTAAGAAACTTTTTTTTGCAGAGCTAAGAGAATATTAAGCTGGGAGTGTCTGTAAAATGACAAAGTATGATTTGAAATTGCTTCGAAGATATAATAAGGCCTCGTCCAGATTTGAATAGTGGAATGTCCCCTTTAGCTCTTCTCCGCCCTGGGAACAAATGCATATACATATCTTCTTGTAATCGGTCGACCCATTTTGTAATGATTACCTAGCACCTATTCAAAGAAACCATTAGCACTCTCTCTTCGTTCGGTGAAACTAGCTCGTGAGCTCTCTGCCAAGATAGTTCTTCAGTCAACGAGAGTTGTCAGCAGAAATCAAATAACTAGTCAACCCTGGTCGTTCAGTACGACATTTATGCAAATCTAAATTAGGAATACTTCAATAGATACACTGTAAAAAAACTTCGCGATTAGGGAGAAAATGACAGTTGGACAAATATGCTAGAGTTATTTTTTTCTGTCTATTTCTCTGTGTTATTTTTTTTTTATACAAAGTTAGCGAACTTAAAGCAATGAAATATTTTAAACCCGTCATTTCGAGACACCCTTTACCTCATGCATCGCATGTTCGTTGATATTTACGTTTTCGTGCGAAACATTCCAACAAACAGTTAGTTCAAGCTAGAGATAAGCATGGGACTAAATATTAAGTCCCGATCCCGCCATCCCGAAATTTAATTTTTAAGTCCCGAACCCGCCCATCCAGACGTTTTTCAGAATTGTACCACGGACTCATGGGTCCCGAAATCTATCACTAAGAAAAATTCACATGTCTTTCAAATTAATTTTAAATAACAAAAAAAATAATGATAGATCTGGCATCTTCCGATTATTTTGTTTCACTTTGCTGTTGGTTTTCGTCCCAATAAAACATAAAAGTGTGCATATTTCACACATCGTTTATAAGGAAGATATTCCGAATTTGCTGTGGTTGCGGTTTTATCGGGAGTGATGAGAAATGATTTTGGTCCCTTCCGGCCCGCAAAATTTCACAGACCTTCCCGACCAATTTGAAATCAGTACCGTGGGTCCCGCGGGCCCCGATATCCCGCGCCCATCTCTAGTTCAAGCGGCTATTTGGCGCATTTATGCATTGCATTTGTGTAACGGCTAGTTACGCTTTTCAATGTGCGTGGATATATGATTTGCTGGTATTGTTGTTGTTTTTATTTTCGTTAGGCGCTCTATGTGCGGCCATTGTAGTTAGTTGCATTCGTATTGTTGTTTTTGATGTCTACTGCATACGCTGGTGTGCTTTGCTATGCTATGTTGTTTTTATTTTTCGCCAATTGGCCCTGTCCTTAAAATGTTTTCCTTGAATAGAAATATTTCGCTTTCATATACAAAAAACAAAAGCAACAATTCGAAATATACATCGGTATGCAACAGTCCAGAGTTGTTGCATTTTATCGCGGTAAATATTTAGACATTTCAGAGAGAAATCCATTTGGTATAGAAATGAGCAATGTGGCCTATTTGGTGTCCGAAGATTTGACTGAACTTAAAACTTGTTGAAAAAACAGGAAATTTCATAAAATAAAATCCAGATATATCAATATCCTCAAGTTCACAGTTCTTTGTTCAAGAGAGTCACAGAAACTTATAACACCTGAGGCGTCACATCCTCAATCTTTACTGACTTCTGAAAGATGGTGACAATTTTAGAAATGAGGGAGCAGACGAGGCCGCGAGTGCAGAGCTTGAAGGAATACTTGAGCAACCGAATTAAACCATACAATTCCTCTGAGATTGCTATTCTCAAAAGTTTAAGAGAAGGTTAGAGTAGCTATTACAAACAGTCGAACTAATTAATCTGAACACAAATATAGTATCAAATTCACATGATGCCACTCACGTTAATACCAACGAGTTACTAGCATACTGACGAATGATATCCAGCTTCGGATGCTCGCAAACTAGTTTCTGTAGAAGCTCTTGGCATGCGGCAGAGATAT